CCTATTATTTGCTTTCTTTTGCTTAGGTTTTGGGTCAAAAATGCATAAAGCTATTACCGAAAACTAACTTAATGTGCTTGCTTGCTGGGTTTGGTCAAAATGAGGCAAAGAAGCCATAATCAGCTCATGAAGGTGTCAAACTTATACTAATCTAAGGCTGAGACTGGAGCGCTGAGAGCGGCAGAAAAGCGCGGTCGCGTAAGGACCACCGCTGAGGCGGCCATTATTACGCGATCCGCGAAAGTAGATTCAGAGAAGCTGTTTTGAGTACTAAAATAACCGCTGACCGCGTTGGAAAAGAGCGGCCGCAAAATCTTTGGCGCGGCCGCGAAGGAATTTTTGCTGAGAGCGTGGTTCGAGGTTCAGAGACTCTACAGTTTAGGCTCAAATGAAGAACACGGCCCGCGTCCAAATTACGCGGCCGCGAATTGATCTTACACGGACGCGAAGGGAATTCCTCTGAGAGCGCATCTTGAGGTGCAGAGACCCTGCAAGTCAGGCTTAACTGAAAAACGCGATTCGCATCCAAATTACGCGACCGCGATGGAAGCACACACAGACGCGATTGAAATTTTGCGGCCCGCGAAACTAAGACAAATCCAAGCCCAGTATTGAAAAAACACGGACCACGCTCATTATTACGTGATTGCGAAAGCTCAAGCGCAGACGCGGTCAGAATTACGCGTCCGTGAATCCTCCACAGGGGCATTTTTGTCCGAAAATTTCAGCTCTGTATAAATAGATCTTTTTGACATTTTTAGGTTAAGTTTTGTTTAGCAAAGCACGTGAACGGTTGGTTTTTCCTTTTTGGGCAATTTTATAATAGATTTACCTTCAAACTTTAGATTTTCATCTTGTACTTTAATATTATGGCTTATATTTCATCTTTATCTTTGATTTATGCTGTTATTATGAGTAGCTAGACCCCATAGCTAGGGTTGTAACCCAACCCTAGTGTGGGTATTTAATGGGTCTTAAATTTTAGGGCTTAATTGTTTATGGTTTAGTGATATTTAGCCTAATTCATGCTAAAATTGTAGAATCAGTGGTTGCAAACACTGATTCATGCCTTTATAACTTAGGCTCTTCTTGAGGAAGAGAGACTAAGTCTAGAAAAATTAGGCTAACAAGGAATTGGGGTAAACTCAAGAGATTGATAGCCCCAATTAAAGGGTTAAACCTAGAGATAGTAATGCCCGACTTGAGCCAATTTCATTTGGATTGTATGAACACCCATTTGGTCTTGAGAAAGCCAAATCGGGCAATGTCACTCAAACTACCGAGAGGTATAGAGTGAGCACTTACGTGTGATGGTTATATCACGACCCCAATCGTAACAAACTTGTCCTAGATTCTTGATACCCATTAGATACTCACCTAGGCGGAAGTCACTACCCTAGTGCCTTTTAACACTTGAAAACTTTCACAAAAAATATTGTACTTAGCTTACACTTGGCATATAATAGTATAAAATTAGAATAGAATCAATCGCAACAATGTTTGGAAGTGCAATTAGAAACAACACGCACATCTAGATTAGTTAGATACCCGACTCCAAACCAAATTAACTCCCTGTGGAGATCGATCCCAACCTCATCGGGTAAAACTGCATCGACCACTCCTTGCTGCTATATAGTGGTGTAGGTTTGGCCTCGATCAAGCAGCTGCGAGGCTTTTCAGGAAGCAGTTGCAAGGCTTTTCTTTAGCTGCTTGTAAGTTGTCTGCATGAGTTGCTTGCAACCTGCCTGTTTAATAAGAAGCTGTTGCAAATCATTTCATTGAGTTGCTTGCAACCTGCCTGCATCAGTTGCTTGTAGATAAATTTCAACAAAGTACTAAATAGATAATCTTCTTCAGGAAAATTATCTATAACGGAGTAATGAATGAACATCCACAATATAATATTTTCATAACACATATATCTTATTTGTAGAACGAGTAATTGACCGAAGAATATATCATTAGCAAGGAGCTCTCTACTTGAAGTTATTCTCCAATGTATACTAATTATTTTTCCTTTGAGCGGAACAGTGAACACACAAGTAACACAGTAAAACTAGAATTTATGACAATTTTTATGACATTAACTCAAACAAATAGTTTACTAGCCCTACTTTAGTTTTCCAGATCTTATTGGATGTTAAACATTTTAGTTTTTTTTAGATGTGTATATATAATTTAAGCCGAAAGCAAATGAATTCGGTTGAACTCAAAAACTCGGACCGCCTCACATTTTCAGTTGGATTAACCCTCATGGAAAATGAAACGTCGGCGGAATCATTAAAGAAGTGTCATTTCTTTTGTCGGTTGGTTGCTCAGGACCCAATGATCCTCTGCTTTGAGCTTGGCCCTGTTCTCTATTTCCCATATCATCCCCGAGACAACTCCTTTTATTTTGTTTCTGTTAGATCTATGAGCATGTTATTCCTAAAATATGTCTAAACAAATTTGCTTTAATTAACTTTCACTAGTAACATTTTAACTTCTTTTGTGGGTAGGACGAGAATTGAATTTTAAATCCCCTAGTTTTAGGGGTTAGTTTTGATTATTGAACTAATCCTTTTACTTAAAACAAGATTTGAACTAATCCTTTGTGGACAGTACAACAGCTGGTGATAAGCGACGCCACCAAATGCTAGTGGATTTAGCTTTTAAGTTTGTGATTTCCACCATTAACTTTGGTCAATATACCTCTTTCTTCAATGCCGTAGATACATTGTAATAGCTGCAAAAGCGGATAAAGAATGGGGTAAAATGATCTTGAGGTGATGCCTAATTTGAAAAATATACGTAAACGTAGGAATATTATTAGACTATACTAAGATAGTAGATCCCTGAATCATTGAATTTGAACACAAACGATCTTTTGAGATTTAAAAGTTAAAATTAAAAAAGGATTGCTACAGTCCAACATATCATAGCAGGTAACTTTTTTTCTTCGGATTACCAATTAATATACTTTGAGAGTTACCTCTAACTATTTTTAAATGACTCGATTATATAACTTATTTTATATTGTCGACACATAACACTTTAAACTCAATGCAAAACATGTTTTCTTAACTTGTCTTTCTCATTACACATTGTCTTGGTCAAAAGTAACACTAGGTGTTGTTATCTATTGGATGAAGGGTAGATCTGCCTATAGGACAATCCTTCACTGCCTAATGACCAGTAAATTTCAATGGTATCTTCTATCTTGGATAAAAGCCACCTGAATGCTTAGAATTTTAATGGTTTGGATGCATTTGATCTTTTCTTTGTGTTTTCTCACAAAAATAAACTAGCAGACTTATACATTGACATTGTTACCAACAAAAAAAGATCTGTGCATTTTCAGTAAACCTTCAAAAGACTACACTACCAAAAATTTAATACCAATATTTTAGTTTTTGAGTGCAAATTTTTTTTAAAAAAAAAAATAAAGCAAAAATCCAGTAAAATATTAGGAGAAAATACACTCCACTTCTTTTCGTTCTCAAATTTTTTTCAAACCATATGGTTATATTTATTTATTTGTTTATGAGATCTTTTGTCCTTGAAACAAAAGTGTAGTTATTTTGTAGTCTCCAGTCTTTTTATTTTTTTTGAAGAAACAAAAGAAAAAATCAAATGCATCCAAACCATTACTATCTCCGTCTCAAATTATCTGTCGTGTTTTTATTTTGCACACCCCTTAAAAAATAATAATTAGAAAGTATTTTTGACTATTTTACCCTTATTTATGTCTTATTGGTATTTGAACAATCATAATATTACCCCATAATTAAGGTGTTTGTAGACTGTAGTCTTCAAAAATAATTACTATTCCCTCTGTTTCAATTTATTAGTCATGGTTTGAATTACGAGGGTCATATTTTTTTAATTTTGACCATAAATTAGATATAAATTTTTTAAAATAAAATTTTTATAATAAAAAACTAGTATATAAAAAATACTATAAGTCATAATAATTTATATTTTAAAATAACTATACCATATATAGGAAAAATATAGTCAAAGAGTACAATTAGTTAACTTTCAAAATAGTAACTATCACTAATAAATTGAGAGGAGGAGTACTACTAAGTGTAAAATAGGAAAAATAATTAAGTTTGTGTTGAACTTCTTAAATAATAAATAATTTGAGACAATTATTTTTATAAATTACGTCAGATAGTTTGGGAAGGAGAGAGTAAAATTCTAAGCAGCCTGGTGGCTTTTATCGAGTATACCATTGAGGTTTAATGGACCATTAACTACTTAAGTGGATCCCATTCCCTTATTCCCTATGCTTAAAAAAAAAAAAAAAAAAAAAACCCAAAA